ACCCCACCACCTCCATCCCACCACCACCATCATCCACAACAAGGGACCCCACCACCTCCATCCCACCACCATCACCCCACCGCCTCCATCCCACCATCCCATCCACAACCAGAGACTCCACTCCACAGCCACCACCTCCACCCCACCCCATCCCCCAGGTCCTACTGGGTGGCCGGGGACCAGCCCGACTCTCGGGCTCCTTGAAGGGCACCACAAGCGTCAAGGGCTTTGAAGCAATCCTTGAGCGAGTTGCGCTGGTAGAACTCCACCAGCTCCTGTAGATGACGTCATCAAGCCTTGAGGTCACCACCAGCCCCCAGTCTTGATGTGGGGGGGACCCTTTTTGGGGTGGGGGGAGCGGAGAAGCTCCGGCGCTCACCACCAGCCCCTTGAACGCCTTCTTCTCGGTGATGCGGTAGAGCCCCTCGGCCGTCATCACCTTGATGTGCTTCACCTCCGCGCGGTACCTGGGGCGGGAGGACGTGGAGGATGAGGGGTGGGGTTTGAGATGCAGACCTGTCCTCCCCCACCCTGTGTCCCCCCACCTCGGAGATGTCCCCCCCGGTCCCTACTTGATGCTGATGGCGAACTCGCCAGCGTCCTTCACCCGTTGGCGCACCAGGAAGGCGCCGTCGGAGCGCGGCGTCCGGAGCTGCTCGGCTTCCCCTCGTTCCACGGGGGCGGTTACCTGGGACATTATGGGATGGAGGTCCTCAACCCCCAAAACTGGCATCTCCTGCCCCTGCCCCGGGGCAATTCGTGAGGATTTGGGGAGGGAGGAGGAGCTGGGGGGGCAACCTGGAGGAAGGATTTGAGGACACCAGGAGGGTTGAGGGTCTCCAGAGAAGGATCTGGAGGACCCTGGAGGCTATGGGGTGACCTCAGGAAGGAGCGGGAGGGCTCAGAAGAAGATTTTGGGGGTCCTGATGCCATGGGGGAGGGGTTGAGGAAAGATTTCGAGGGATTCCAGGAGGGATGGAGGGCTCAGGGAGGATTTGGGGGGCCCATGGAGGTGGTGGGGTGACCATGGAGAAGGATTTAGGGTGACCACAGGAGGGATGGGGGACCACAGGAGGGATTTGGAGGGCGGTCCTGGGAACCAGGGGGTGACTGCAGGAGGGATGAAGGACCTCAGGAAGGGATCTGGGAGGTCCTGGAGGCCCCAAGGAAGGATGGGGTGACCCTGGGGGGGAGGTTTGGAGGGACCCCAAGGGATGATTCATGGGGTCCTGGGGGCTACGAGGTGACCCTGGGGGAGGATTGAGGAGGTCCCTGAGAGCTAAGGGAGCCCAGAGGAGGATTTGGGGTGCCCCAGGGACTACAAGGGGTCCCACCACTGACCAGGGGTAGACGGAGAGGTCCGGCAGTGGCACCTGAGGGAGAGAAGCAGAGTTGGGGATCAAGGTGGGACACGTTACATGGATGACTCCTCTAGACCCCCACCCCCCCAAAAAAAATCCCAGGACAAGCCCAACATCCTGAGGACATCAGGGTGGGTGCAGGGGCTCCTGGAGATGTTTTGGGGTCCCCGTACTCACGCAGATGAAGGGTCTCACAGCATCGCAAGGGAACCAACCCAGGTCACCGTTGGCCACGTTCCTGCCCTGGAGATGAAGGACCATGGGGTCAGGGGGGCCATAGGTGTCCCCCTGCTCCCCAGGAGGCTGGAAGGACCACAAGGGTCCAGCCTGGCCATGGAGGTCCAGCCCCATCATGGAGGTTTGGCCCATCTTCATTGTGGGGGTTCAGCATGACCATGGAGGTCCATCTCCATGGTCAGGGTCCAACTTGGTTGCAGGGATCTGGCCCAGCCCCATCATTGGGTGGTCCAACCCAACCATGGCTCCCCAACTCATCATGGTCTAGCCCATCACAGCTGTTGTGGTCTGAGCTCACCATGGGGGTCCAGCATGGACTTGAGGGTCTGTCCCTGCCCATCATGAGGGTCTATTCCAGCACGACCATAGTGGTCTGCCCCCATAGTGGAGGTCCATCGCAGCATGGGGATCTGCCCCCATAGCAGAGATCCATCCCAGCATGACCATAATGGTCTATCTCCATAGTGGAGGTCCATCCCAGCATGGCCATAGTGGTCTATCTCCATAGTGGAGGTCCATCCCAGCATGGCCACAGCGGTCCCACCCCCACCACAGTGCTCCCGTCCCCACCTGCCACCAGAGCTGCTCAACCTCGGCCACGGTGACCTCCACGACGTCGCCGGGGCTGAGGCGCAGGGCGGGACCCAGAGCCCCTGGCGGCGGTGGGATGCCGTTGTAGGGCCGGTTGGCCTCCATCTTGGGCAACCCTGCGAGGAGGACACGTGACAGAGGGGGCAGTGGTGGTCAACCCCCACATCTCTGCCCCCCAAAGACGTGGACCCCACCACCCCATGGTGTCCTCACCCAGCTCTCCTCGCTTCTTCTCGGTGCCTGGCCGCTGCGACTTGTTCTGAAGAGCAAACGAGACCTCAGTTAGTCCCAGGGCGGTGATGAGGGACATGACACCCCCCTCGTGGCCACCCCCTCCCAAATTCGGGGCATTTCAGCCCATTTTGACCCATTTTGGTGTTACCTTCCTCGTGCCGGAGCCCGAATCTGTGGGGTGGGAGAGGGAACGCTCGTTACTGGCATCTCGTATTCCATCGTACCCCGCTCCGTGCTGGCCATGTTGTATCCCACGATGACCCCCTCTCCCACCCCATGATGCTTCGCTCTCCCGCTGTCCCACCATCCCCATCCCCTCGCTATCCCACCATGCCTCTCACCGGCTCCGCCCCGGCCGCAGGTCCCCAGCCGCCCCAGACACTCCTTGTGCGCGGGGGCCCGGCACCGGCTGCAGCGGTAGCCTTGGTAGAACATGCCTCTGGGGGGACACCAGGGTCATGGTCAGCATGAGGGGACACCTGTTGGCCCACCTGCACCCACCCACCTTGGTCCACTCAGGACTGACCCAATCCGAGACCCACCTGAGCCTTGGGCCAACCCGGTCCTTGATCCACCAGGTCCTTGGCCGGCGTTGGCGTTGGTCCCACCAGGATCAACCCACCTCAGGTGTGTCCCACCCAGAGATTGACCCACCTTGGCCTTGGCCCACCCAGAACTCAACCCACCCAGTTCTTGACCCACCCAGGTCTTGACCCACCTTGGTCTCCACCCAGCCCTCGACCCATCTTGGCCTCCACCCAATCCTTGACTCGCGTTGGCCTTGGGGCCACTCAGGGCTTGACCCACCAGGTCCTTGACCCAGCCAGCCCTCAACCCACCCAAGACTTGACCCACCTTGGCTTTGGCTTACCCAGGACTCAACCTACCCAATCCTTTACCAGCTCAGACCTTCACCCACCCAAGGCTTGACCCACCTTAGCCTCAACTCACCCATGTTTTGACCCATCAAGATCTCACACCACCTCCAACCACCTCCCCAGGGTCTCCTCTTCCCCCAGAGTCCCCCAACCCCATATTCCAGGTACCCCTGTCCCCCATTTTCCCCCCAGCATAGTGGGGGACATAATTTTGGGATCCTACCTCAGCAACATCTGGCAGGCTCGGCAAGACGTGGTGTCCTCGAAGGAGAACATCTGGAAGTCGTGCCCATCGGCCAAGGCATGCTCAGGGAAAATGTTGGAGCTGGCAAGAGATGGAGGGACCTGGGTCTCCCCACGACCACCCAGCCCCCAGTGGGGCAGGTACTTTCCCCACCTCTGGGTGCAGGGGCACCTACAGGGCCATCTCGAACTGCTCCAGCCACTTCTTCTTCAGCTCACGGGTCT